CCGTATCTTGGACAAGTTGTCAGTTATCCAGAATGGTCAATAGTCCAACTCGAGTTCTGAAGACCCCAAGGCCTTCAGACACTTATAAGCCGACTCCTCCTAACTATCACTCTGATGTTAGGCCTTCTCCCCCACATGTGATGAAATATAATTGTAGCTGGTAAAGTTGCATAAACTTTTCGCTTCAGAATCCCGGCAAGAGGAACGTCAAAATAACGGCGATTCCCGAGGGCCAAGCCTTACAAGCTTCAGAACGACTCCGACTCTGCGGAGTGAGTTTTACTCGGTGGTCTGATTTCAGCAGTGTGAAAATTTTTTTCCGATTTCTTCGATTTTTTTATGAAATTTCATACACGAATCCGTAGAGTAGACATATGCGAAAACCACCGCTAATTTCTCAGGTTTTCCTCAGAATTTATATATTATCACCAACAAATTTGTTATTTATTCCCAAACTGCATTTCAGATTTCCTGTCCCGACGAAATTCGTTTTCTTCCTACTACATGGGATGTTGGTGAAGAAGTGACAGTAACATTTCCCATCAGAAACGATTGGCTCGTTCCTGTCACTATTAAGTATGAAAGATATTTTTCCTGCCCGAATGGTATGTCTCAAAATAGGTACACTTTGCCGCGATCGCGATTTCTATCACTACCTTACCCGAAGCCGATCAAGATTCCCCCGGGTTTAACCGAGAAAATTCCTGTCACCTTTAAGTGAGTTTTAGGTCAAAAGTCTGTGTGGGAAAATATACTCATGAAAATTCTGAAGAATTTTTCATAAAATTCTCTTCGGTTTCCCCCACGCCAATTTGTCACTAAACTTCTAGTGAGGAAACTCCTAAGCTCAGCTGAGGAGTGCCAACACTAATAAATATTCTCCCCAGGCCGACAGCCTACGAGCCCTTACTAGATGAGATTGTCGTTCACGTGAAGACCCCAGCAGTCGCAGATGTTCCTCCAGCGGTCCTAATGTATATCTTATCGTCAGCAACCTAAGATATTCTTCTTGCTTCAGTCGTATTCGAGCTGAGGTTAACACACTTTCGATCAGCCATAAGATCCCCAACGCGACTGTTGATTTTGGTATCGTTCCCGCTGGTGAAACCAGAACTAAGATCATACATCTTTACAACACTGGTCATGTGCATGCGTGCAAGATTCATACCACTCTTTCGTCAACTCGTCAGGTTCACGTCCAGCGCGTATAACGTGGAAGCTCTTGAAGCCATTCTCCCTAGATCCTGACGCCTCTCCAGAGATGATTCCTGTTGGTGGTTCAGCCGAGTATATTCTGAGGATCTTCCCTGAAACCGGGCAGACCATCGATGGTCTAGTCGTGGCTACAGCGACTGCCGGGGTAAAGAAATACCCCGACTGGGATTCGAACCTGGGTCTTCTGTCAGCCTTCCATCGATGATCTGTCCAGGCTTGGTGTTGGCGATGAGAATAACCACCATATGCTGCACGAGTCTCAGGAGATTCCTCTACGGGTAAGAGTATCAACTTTCCGAATGTTAATGCAACTTTCTCATGTATAGAAGAATTTCCCGGATTTCAGTTTATGCAACTTTCCCATGTATAAAAGAATTTCCCGGATTTCAGTTTATGCAACTTTCCCATGTATAAAAGAATTTCCCGGATTTTAGTTTATGCAACCTTCCCATGTATAAAAGAACTTTTTCCGAATTGCGTTCTCCAACTCCCACGTTTTCGCAGGTGTACGGGATTGCCAAAGTTCCTCATCTTCTTTTCACCAAGGAGGACTCAACAGACCAGAGGGTCCTTACTACTGAGGACGGCCATGTGCGCATCGATTTCGGTACGTATAGTACAGTGTGGGAATATGAATGCACATTTTTCGGTGACAATATGACAATTCTGAGGAAAATCTGGAAAAATAGTGTTGGTTTTCGCATACTTCTACCCTAGATCGTGTGTGAATTTTCGTAAAAAAATCTGAGGAAATCAAATATATATTGCTACACTGGTATATTGGTCTACAACGTGACTTCAGGCTCCTGTTCGCCGGGAATAACACATTCAGTAGAAGTAAACGTCACAAATGCGACTCCTGTTAGTACTTCCTTCTTCGCTAAACCTATTGTTAAGGTGGGCAGTGTGGGATTTCACAGAAGTAGATTCACCCTCAGGCAAGTCCGTTCGACATTAGACTGATTAACGGTTTATCAGTCGACGCGTCGAACCCCTGTTCGATCGGGCCGTTGCAATCGATTTCTCTCTTGGTTTCGTACAAGTCTTCGACCGTCCTTGAGGAAATCTCAGCCGATTTTGAAATTTCCACTGTGGGGTTGTTGAAAAATGTGTTGGTTGTATCCGCAACCGCTCGCTGCGACGCGATACCGATCAAAATGAGCGCTAAGAGTCTCACTTTCGAAGAAGTGGAAGTTGGCACCCGCTGTACTAAGGTTTTCCACATTATTAACTACAGCCCTGACGTGACAACCCAGTATCAAGTCGTCCAGACGAGATGCAACGACGTCGGTGAAGGCGTCGCGTATTCGGTGCTAGAGCTCGATAATCACTGTGGCGTTATCGAGCCTAGGTCTACTGCTACTGTTGTCGTGACCGCGCGCCCTGAAATCCCCTATAATCACTACCGGCGACTTTGGGTACTCGTGAGGCATGCTGCGGAGCCTCTCTATGTTGACTGTATCGTTAACAGCTTCAACGCGGACCACCACCCGATGAAACTAACGTACGCCCATGTTAAGCTGTGGCGCGCTATAACAAGCGCGGATCTCAGCAGCTTTCCTCCGCCCAACTCCAATGACAACAAGCTCCCTCCTAGTGTGGCTCTCGATGATTCCGAAGGGCCTTCGAACGGTTGGGAGGAACTTGTGAAAGCTACTGGTCTTGTCTCTGAGAGGGCGGTTACCTTCGGAGCTTGTTCGCCAGCTAACGGTCCGTACCTGAGGAAAATATCCGTGAACAATCCCAGCCCGGGAAGGGTTATGGTGTACTGGCCGAGTCGAAACGCAACATGCAAGCCAGCTTTTGAGATCCGTCCGGGATCTGGAGAGATCCCCGGTTCGAATACCAGGGAGTTCACAATTGAATACCACCCTCCAACTGAAGGGGACTGCCGCTACACGGTCGCTTCCATGGACTGCGTAATGGTGCCTAAAGAGAACAGGTCAGCGAATTACGAGAGTCTCGAGCGGAACTTTTCCTGTAGGAGCTACCGATTTGGTGATGCTGCGATGCTCGTCCCACCGCATACGTCAACCATCGTTGCTACAGCTCATTCTTGGCCGTCGGAGAGACATGCTGAACCTAAAGTGACGGTCAACTCGGCCACGAAAGAATCGACTAGCGTACGGTTCAGAGGTGTAACTCCAGGGCAAACAGATGCGCAGGTTAGTTAGATAGAAGCACCGCTCCGCTGTAGACCTCCAACAGGTGATAGTTTTGCACAACAGTAGCGACATCGTGATTGGATATTGTGCTGAGTGGTTCCCTCATCTCGGACATGAGTCAACTCTGGATGCTTTCCAATGCTTCCCTCCAATCGGGTGAGGGATGAAACTCTCCGGTCGATGGCACAGCCACCCGTTAGAGCCATCGAACCGCGCGGGTTCGCTTTGGTAGCGGTTTTGTATCACCCTCGTGTCACCACTGCATCAACAGAGGAGGCGGTGGACCACTCGGGATACTTCAAATTCCTCTTGAATGACATACGCGAGTCGGCCGCTACTGTCCATGTCCAAGGCAAATGCTGGATCAGCTCTCCCCTCAAAATCGGATCAGATAATCAGGTGGGAGCACAGATTTTCGAACGAAGGTTATTTAGTGGCGCGGTGACGATTCTTCGGCCACAGGTTGTCACATTTCCTCCCACCGTCACTGGAACAGTCACTTCAGTGAGCACAGAAATCACTAATCTTTCCGGTGTATCGCTCAAGTGGAAACTGGATATCCCCGAACAAGGGAGAAGTCTTTTCTCTCTCCCGATCACATACGGGGAGCTCCCAGCCTTTGGGACCACCAACGCGTTGATGACTTATCATCCATCAGTCATCCCACCAACGCACGAGGTCGATACCACCTGGATCACGGCCACGACTGTTCCGCTGTGAGTACCGGTGACAACCTGCTACCACCTCGGGAGAGGTGAATCTCTTCCCGTGTCAGATCCGGTGGCAAGGAGTGGACCACTCGTGTCAAACTGATTGGGTTCAGTCAAGAGCCTCAACTCCGTTGTGAGCCTCCTGTTATCGACTTGGGACCGATACCGACCCTGTGTCGGGTCAGCGCACCTGTTAGAGTGAGGTTCGCGTATCTTAGCTTGACGTTGCCATGATACGAATCAGGTCAGCAACCTCTCTAGCGTTGAGATTTATTATCTCACTCGGGTTGATTTATTGTCGTACCAGCCCTTGAAAGGAGACCCGCACCCGCCTCCTGATGCCGACCTTTCGACGGCTTGTACGGTTCGGGATGACGATCTAAGAGGAATGCTCGCGCCCGGTGCTGCTGAGGCTGTGGTTTTCTCCGTGAATATGACATTCAGAGGAAAATATCAATTCCGGTACGAGAATTGCTCTGCCGACCGTCACTGATCCTCCCTTGATGTTAGTCTGGAAATCCTCCCGCTTTCGGCGCCCTCCGAGATGACCCCGACATCATCAAATCTCGGTGGAGGTCCTCTGGCCAGCGTCATTATCATTGCTGACTGCCAATCACCCGTGGTATGACGGGTGACCTGATCTGATAGTGCGAGGGTGATGTTGGAAGGTTCAAATACGAGACCTAAGAGTAGTCAGCGACAACCTTCATGATGTTAACGAACACGAGGACAACTGTGTCCATGGTGAGCTCTCGGATGAAGAGTTACAAAATCCTACCGAAGCTGAACCCCTTCTCTACAGTGGACTTGGATGCAACTTCAGGGCCGGCAAGACCGTTGTCAGCACTGTGGCAGTATATGATGATTGATGAGATCAACTCGGCTCTGAGGAGTCCTATCACTGACACTGAGAAAGACCTCATGATAAAGGACGCTGGATGGGGGATAGGTCAACCGTCTTGATAAGGGGAGTATTTCCATGATTCGCACAGGCCCTGACAAAACGGAAGAACTTTTCGATCGGTTGGAAGATACTTCCACTCTGAATCTCGCGACAGCATCCGTTGGTTCCTCAACTGTGACCATGTGATCATGCGACAGCAGTAAAGTCGGTTCTCCATTGTGCTCAAAGATACGCTGCTGTCACCAACACCTCGGACGTTTCTGCTAAGTTGAAGATTATCACGCCTGAGGACGTCCATCTCAAAGGCTCAAGCATTCCTCTGTGGGCATATGGTCATCTCGAGGGTCAGGATATGGAGGAAGCACGACATCACCAATGGGTAGCAAGTGTGATATCTTGCTATCTTGCGATTCCTCAACGCAGGTGATGGAAGAACACCTTATCGATGTACGGCCTCGTCGGAGTGTCATTGAACCCGGCAAAAGCGTCCATCTGAAATTCACATATCGGTTCGCGTATGTCGGAACGCACGTCATCCCTGTTGTACTTCAACTCGAACACGGCAAGCTTTTGCGACTCTTCTTAACGGGAACTACATTGCCGAGGGGAGTTCCGAAACTCAGCGTTAGACAGGATAACATAAAGTAAGGCAAGGCTGGCGTTCACTAGGGAGCACATGCCTCAGTCTCGTACCAGTGCCGATCGGTCGAGGCACATGCCTGCAAACAGTTGAGCTTTCGAACATCGGAGGTGATGTAGGAGACACTGTTGCGGCTGGGAAGGGATCGTCAGGTTCACCGGCGACTTGGCGGATCCGCTCGAATTGCATCGAAGAGTTCAACAAGACCAATTATAATTTCAAAGTCCTCGAGATTCGTCCGTCCTCGGGTGTACTCAAGCCGAATGTGAGCTGATGACCTATGATAGGCTCACTGTTATTGCTACTATAGGCAAGCACCTATTTGGACATCCTCTTCTGCCCGCTGGAAGCTATAGAGTATCATGCTCAGGTATATTGGTAGAATAGTGCTAGTGGAGAATAAACGCTTAGTCAATTTTGAAAGGGTATCGGTTATCTCTGCTGATTTTATGTGGCCACTACTCCTGTTACCAACCTAGATTTTTTTATGGAATGATAATTGAAATAATCAACTACCTTAATGATAGGTTTTCATAGAATTAGTAGAAGATACCCCAGAAGCTGTACTCGTCAAGGAAGAGCTTGCTTTTACTCTCGTTATGTCGGCCTTTGACCCGCGACAGGTGAGATCTCAGCAGTGATGGTATATGAACTTGCAATTTTTCCAGAGAAGTTCTCTTACATCGTCAAGTAGTGTTTTCTCCCCTTCCCTCCCACTGCAAGCCTGCAGTTGTGTTCTTACGCATGGGGCGGCTCTTTCGGTAGAGCATCTCGACTTTGGCCATGTCAAAGCGGGTGAGTTGCCTCCTCATAATTTATTACGCAGTTATTCATATCTATAGATATTCATCGGAGTCTCACCCGTGATATGAAAAACATATTCCACATTTCACATTTCGTATTTATCGGTCACGGAAAAATATACGTCTTACGATTTATATAGAGTGTTATACCACTTCACGTTGAACGAGTGAAACTCCAACATCGATATTGTTAATCTAGTACGCTCGAGTTCCACCCGTATTGTAATACTCGGGGAAAACGTGATATTCGCGCTATGTAGTAGTCGTGAAATATATTCTTCATATCTCGGATGAAACTACATTGTGCACAAGAGCGTATAATAGTGGGGCTAATTTCCGTAGGTGCGACTGTCCATCGTATAACAGTACTGGTGAACTACACCGAGGATATGGTCATGCACTACAGGTGACAGGGACGAGCACCAACCACTACGTCGCAGTTGACCTCATGTTAGGTGGGATCTTCGCGGTTTGCTGCAACCTGATGGCGGGTCCAGCAGGATGGTCGTCCAGCCAGAAGTGATCAGTGTGTGAGTAGAAGTTGATCGGATGCTCTTCTTAGGAGGGTGTGATCGCGCCCAAGAGCAGCCAGATCGTGGTCTTTACGTTGGGTCGAGTTGATGCTGAAAATGATGATAATGAAGTTGCTATGATAGCGATAGATGGGGAGGTTGAGTGCTCGGTGGGTGATAATAAATGACATGTGTGGGAATCGAACTCGGGTTATTGATATGAATATGTATCACCACTATACAGTGTTGGAATATGTGTTTGCTTTTCTCAGCTGGGCTTGGGAGTCTCCTTGCTAATTATGAGAGTTTACGCACGAATTCGGGTAGAAGTGTGCAGGAAGAAAATAGGAATTTCCTGCAATTTTTATGATGTTATCAACAGATGTAGTTGACCAAGTGAATATTTTCCCACCCACCGGTCGAGAACTCAGGAGCCAATTTAACGGGATCAATCTGTGTAGCAAATTCATTGCGATTTTCATATTCTAGATAGTGTCCTGGACGCCCGTTGATGAGATGAACGATAACAATTTGATGAGTTACAGTGATGACCCGACTGCTGATCAGTACGTGTAGGAAGAGGAGGAGGTCTCTCCTGCGATATCGATGATCAGATCTGAGGAGATTATTGTAGAGCACAAGGATCATCGTCACGAGCCTGCTTTTTCCATGAGAGATCCCTTTAGACCAAAGCATGTCTCTGTTGTTAATCGTCTAACTGTATCAAGGTAGGTTTACAGAGGTCCCGGGTTCGATCCCTTGCACCGGCAACAGGTATCGACACCTTGCCTCTACAATAGGGGGGCAGAAGTATTTGAATGAGAATCTTGGAAGATCAGTGATGTTATCGGTGGATTTGCCGTCAGAAGCCCGAGTGGACGATTTGCATCAGAGTCTGGTGGGATTTCGAAAAATGCGAAACGTGAAACGCTTCGCTCCGCTGTAGGTCCAATCGATGCTGCAGAACTCCGACTCGAGAGATAGAGAATCTATTGCGAGGAACGCCACCCGAGAGGACGGGTAAATATCGCTCGCCCGTGAGACTTTTCACTACTGTGGTGATGACCGACTAGGCCTATGGAAGCCGCGAATCATCCAGGAACCTATAATGGTTGAATTTCCCACATGGCAAGGAACACATTCTTCAATCAGTTCCCCATGTAGATGTGATCACATTGGGAACATTTTTCTCACTGTTATCAGACTCTTTCTCAAATTCGAGTGAGTCGCTGTATGGTTGTGCTCAGAAAAGACAGCATTGATAAAGTGGAGGGCTTCTGTATCGATGGGAAGCCCAGTCGCTGTCCTCTTCATGTTAGGATCACTGTAAGACCGTCTGTCGAGAGGTAGCAGGATCGTATGCAAGAGTAGGGTTGACGGGTAACTGAGTCAGGTTGTATGAGAAGTCAAAGGTCAGCACTACTCCTTTTATTGCATCAAACGAGGCTGAGCAGGTGAGTAGGATTGTAAGGCTTTATCTCACTGACAGCGACTCCCTGTCCCGTTTGCGGTACAGCTGCGCTTGAGCTAAGATGTGCTAGATATTCCTATATTCTGTACACAGTCCACTCGATTCGAGAGATGAATAACATATCACGTTATTTAGAGTATCGCAGATCAGTGACACGAAGCCTTATAGGATCGATAGGAAACGCTTTATTGCAGTTTGTGAGAGAATAACGAGTGGAATTACCTCGGGACTTCGGGATTACTTCAAAGTGTTATCATAGATCATCCAGCACCTCCTACGAGATGTATTTGCTGATGAAAGTCTATCTGAGCTCATCAAGGGGGGAATAAGCACTCAGTCAATTTCACCACTACTCCATGTAGCGTTTCAATTGGGTACGGGTATGCATAGCGTGCATCGCAGGAACCATCATCGCCGAGACCTGCAGCGCCTAGGACTGCTGATGACGTATTGTGGAACGTTCCGCATTGGGAGATAACTCCAGAAGGAACGGTAAGGATTTTACCAATTATCATTGATATTACATATTGGAGTTTCACACGGACAGTGAAAAAGATATTTCACAATTCACTCGGCGGGAAACTATTGTGTCAATCGATCTCGGAAACATGCACGTTCTATAAAAGTATGGAGTATTACTTCACTCCACGTTAGACTGGTGAAACTCCATTATTATGAATTTTATTGTTATTCTCGTGATAGTATTTGTTGTTATTATATGAGGTGAAATTACATATACTATTTCGCTTAACATACCTAGGGGCATCTATTTCAATACTACATGTTATCCTCGTGACATTCGTAAATATCAGTTTTTTATCAAGTATTGTTACCGAATTCTCCTATATATATTTCTATCTGATTCACGTAGTTGAGGAGTTACATTTCTCAGCTGATCGCATCGCTCGAGGACAACGCTGGGCAGATTGAGGTAAGCTGTCGAATACGGCGAGAATAGTTGTTGTGGGGATGTAGGAGGTGGACAGCGAAGTTGAAAGCCTTATTCGCGATGCTCGCGGTGTAACCACTTCCAACCACGCCAGCATGTTGTTGGTTGGTACCACTGGTACGCAATCTTGTTTTATGGCATTTGGGAAAATCTTTTATTTCTATAGGTTGGGAGAACGCGAGTGAAAAGCTCTCGAGGAATATATCTGAACGTGAATCTAAGGAGAAAAAGGTATATTTTTCGGGCGAGCGAGAATGTAGCTAGTTCTGATTATCAGATGATCAGAGGAGAATGTGGAGCTTTGAGAGACCTATCGAGAGTGAGTTAATGAGCCGACAGAGAGTTTGATGGAATTGGTCAGATCGCGAATGAGACGCTGAAGGACGCGGTGTTGACGGCTATTGAAGAAATGCTAGGAGAAGCGACATCTCTGTGATGTCATCGCATGCTCTTGTGAACTACTTCTCGTTATCATGCGATGTTGAGTTCGAAGTTTGACTCGATGTGAAATACGACTGTTCATCGCGACACTTTCTTGTGGAGCTTCCTGGTTGTGCTCCTTGCAAACCGGTGTACGTTCCGGACGAGCATACGAGTTATGTGGATAGATCTACCAATAGACGGGTCTCTTATTATCGACTAGAGAGTGGAGACGAACGAAGTGCTAGCTGGCAGATCGAAAACACCATCAGAGACTCTCGCACACGATGTTGAGATATAGGTCCACTACTCCCAGCTGAGCTCACGAATTTCCTCACTAATTATGGGGATCTGTAGATTAATTTGGGTAGGCATGTACAGGAACTAACGAGAATTTCCCTAGAATTGCTCAGAATTTTCACATTATCACCAACACATGTAGTTTACCATGTGCATTTTCCCCCAGACAGAATGATCGATATTGGGCTCATCACCCAACAAAAGTCGTACCGCAGGGCTCAGTGAGCCCTGCGTAGGCGCACAATGCGTGAGCCCGGCGTTATTGTGCAAGCGTGCAGGCTGGCTCAGTGTTGCAGATCAGAGATGAGAGGCGACGCACTCGTAGAAGGCAAAATACGATCGGCTGCTGATGAGGGTGTATTCTATGCAGAGAGTAGAACCAACTGTATATAGCTATATCAGCGACTTCAGCAAGATTGAGTGTCCAATAGCAACATCAGCTTAGTGTTATGTGGACTTCTCGCGTGATCTGTCTTCACGTTTTACGTATGTGTATTGTGCTCCTGTAGCTCCCTCCAGCTCATACTCTGACTGGAGTGACTCAGGCGAGCTCAATGACCTCGGCGATGACATTGATAGTTGTTGCGATACTTAGGTAAGGTTATACGAAGCGTTATACCTCGCTCTATGAAAAGGAGAAGAAGCTATGTGTTTGCGTGCCGCATGGTGCGTGTCTCTGCACGCATGACCAAAACAAGGCTTGGTGGTATCATCAAACTGAGTATACAGCTTAGGTGAGCTGGGATAATACACAGCAGCACATAGTAGTGTTGAACGACACGGTACAGCTCCTTCTAGTACAATTGTCCAAAACAAAGCCTAGACTGATTTTATAGTATTTGCATACTAGAGATGGAACTGGTCGGTGCGTTCGACTATCCGTACGGCTAAGCTGATGAGCTATGGATTGTATTGCAATGACTGAGCTGGTTCTAGCGTTCAGCATTGTCCAAATCACTTTTCCAATCATGGCTGCATTCTACCTGATGTTGGTCTGTCTGCTCAACCTCATCCTCACTCTTCAAGCTGAGGGTATCCCTGCGCACTTTCGTGCGCTGTCGAATACCCCCTGCCGCCCGGAAAATCTGTATTGTAAAGGAGGTTGCCAAAAAGGATGCCACTGCGTAGCCCCTACTCCTTTTGAGCGTTGTATCTGTAAGTGCTAGTCCCTATAGGGAGATGAGCCTCGACAAGTTCAATGATGAAAGTACTTACTAGCGCTGAGTACATATTTTTCATAACTTTCCGAGATGTTATTATCCTGGTGGATGCAGTGAATTGTCTTTGCTGATTAATAACATCAACGGGTCTTAACAAAACATTATGCTGTAATTATTGATATCACTTTTTCACATTGTCATCCTAGGTAGGCATGTTGTGTTATGTTTAATGACTACGTAAGCGATGTGACGACACCGAGCAATCCTTACATTGTAAAGGAGTCGCGTCACTATTGTTAGTGATTTGCCCAGTGAGATAACACTACAGTCGATATAATTGCAGAAGAGTGCCTTACAAGGCTTGATCATACCTGAAGATATTTCCCGGTGGCGAAGACCATCCTCACTCGCCCTAGACCCTCACAGTGCCCTTCCCACTCGCGTGAAAGTTTGTGAGGTTTCCCGCACAGAGCTCGCTCTCCGTTCACCTAGCCGGCATAGACTATCTTCATCGTAAGCTTAGCTAGAGGGATCCACCGGCCTAGAGAGACACATTGTGTTCTACGGGGGACTGTAATTTCTGTCACTAACCTGATCACTCGTTGAGTCATTCGTTCCGTTGACATTAATTTATAACACTCAATAAAAAAGCTTGCCTGGATTCATCCCTCTCGGAGTAAAATACATCGGTGCTAGTCTCACTAAGCCTGTTTTCGGCGTTGGACTTTAAACTCATACGCACATACCCGTTGAGTTGTTCGACATCACGGATTCCGTTGACATTAACTTACAAGACTCAATAGACTTGCCTGAATTCATCCCTATTGGAGTGAAATGCATCGGTGATAGTCTGACGGTTTTCGGCGTTGGACTTGTCAAACCCGGGTTGTCAACCCGACGAAAATCTGTTGTACCGTAGTCGGTTCAGCTGTTATAAATTTTACTCGATGAGTAAGTCAATGAATGGCAACACAACCATGCGTTCACACGAAAATTCGGCAACTGGTACTGCTCCCAAGGCCAAGTCAGACTCCTATATGGAACAATATCAAACTTTCAATCAAGTATGTGTTGGGATATATGTTCGCTTATCTCAGATGAGCTTGGGAGTTCTCTCACTAATTTAAGAAATTTGCATACGAATTTTTGTAGAAATGTGCGGAAATCAAGGAAAATTTCCCAAAATTTCCTCACATTTTCTAACCTGTGGTTAATCATGTGAAAATATTCCCACGAGCACGTCGTGCTAATATTCACCTTGTAGGATGGGAGAGGCTGTCTACTATCAGAGCTTGGCAACTTGCTACGACTATGTGGCTTCAGCCCTACTAATGCGATGTTGCACTCATTTGAGGTGCGTAAATGGGGTCAGTCATTGAAATAACATTACAATGTTAATAACATTACATTGTTCGAAACATAGTGTTTGCTATGGAGGATCGAGAGAGCGATGATGAGACATGATCGGAATCTTGCAAGGTGGTTGTTCAGTGTATATTTCAGTCCATTGCCGTGTGGAAAAATATGCACATGGTCAACTACATGCGTAGATGACAATATAGAAATTCTGAGGAAATTCTCATTGGCATGTGAACCTTTCTACCCTAATTTATATATGAACTTGTACAATTAGTGAGGGAACCACTCAATTCAGCTGAGGGAAGCGAACAAAAAATATGCACATGGTCAACCACATGCGTAGGTGTCATCTCTGTTTGAAGTTTTGAGGAAATTTTCATTGGTTTCTGTAAACTTCTACCCGAGTTCGTATGAAAACTTACATTATCAGTGAATAACATTCAGTGAACATAAACTCCTCCAACATTAGTTTATTGTATCAGACTGGAGTTAGAGAAGTGAACAAAGAGGACCCTCGAGTGTCGCCGCAACAGTTCCTTGAGATGTGCAGTAAATGTGCTGAACAATTACGATTGAACACTCCACTTGATTTGATGAGTTTCTTCACCCCGATGGACCCGGAAAATACTGGCCTAGTTAGCATTAAAGCATTTCGGTAAGATTCATGTAAGTGGAAACCCATTGAGACAGTGTTGTTCACTTTCCTCAACTGAGCTTAAGAGTTTCTCACTAATCATAGGAGTTTATATACGAGAAGTATACAGAAACTAACAAAAATCTTACAAAATTTCTTCAGAGTTTTCATATTGTCACCGACACAGTGGTTGACCATGTGCAAATTTCTACACACTGGGGACAGTGTTGAAGGAATACATGCTCGCTTTCCTCAGCTGAGCTTGAGAGTTTACTCACTAATTATAAAAGTGTACCTACGAATTCGGCTACAAGTGTACAGAAACCACTGAGGATTTCGTCAAATTTCCTCAGCACTTGAACTTAGTCATCAACACATGTGGTTGACTCACGTTGGGCTGGTACGACACCATCTTTGTTATATCTACCTGGAGGAATGCTTCAGAAATCTGCCTGGTTATACTCAATCGATTTTCATTGTGAATCGAACCGTTATACAAAGTAGTATTTTCAACTTAACCTTCAATTTTTGAAAGTTCGAATACCAGCATGATAACAATATGAACTGCTTCACAACGTTCCGAAATCGGTAGTCGTATTCTCGGAGTGAAGAAAGCCATCTCGAGAAATTAGATATGCATAACGGCTTCGCTTCCTTCACCCGAGAGAGACAGGTTGAACCTATTTCAAAAATCTCTTCAAAGAAGGATTCATTAGCCTTTTACGCGTGAGACCGCAAAATTCGATATGAACCACTTAAAAGATGTGTTCTTTGAACCATCAAATTCTTGACCTTCAAGAACCCTTCGCAAAAGAGCTATTCATTAAGGAAGCCTTCCTGCAACAACTCTGTTTTTACACGGGAGATGATGCACTAGCATTTTATGAATCGTTGAGAATTGCTGTTCGCGACCGGTGAATAGTGTTTCCCTCAGAGCAGTGATGGAGAACGCCGGAGAGCCCTTCAGTCGGGAAGAAGTCGACATATTCGTACGAGACTTCTCATCCGATGGTCTCGTGCTTGACTACGAGTCCATGGTTGATACGTAAGGCGTTCTGTTCAGTGTTGGAGGAGGAGGAATATATGTTTGCTTTCCTCAGCTCAGTTGAGGAATTCCCTAGAAGTCTACACACGAATTCGAATACAGAACTCAATACAAGTTCCCTGAAAATTTCATCAGAAATTTCATATCGTCATCGAACATGTGCATATTTTCCCACACCGACTCTCTCTTTGTTAGAATATTCCAGAAGCCCTGAAGGAACTATGATCACGGACGCATGCATGTCGCGCTGTTGATATCCATCATATGATTTGATGGGCATTTTTCCAAGTTTTATTATCATGTTGTTGTTTCGTTCATGCTAGAGCGTGTTATTGGATTCTCCTCTTCAAGTGAAAATTTAATATTTTACGTCATTTAAGTTTCACCAAGATATGATACTTACAATAGAGTCTCACCGATGGTATGGAAAACACTAGTGAGAAACATATTTCACGACTACCGCATATCACCGCGAGTATCGCGTTTTTCACAGAGTTAAAAAGGGTGAAACTCCAATGCATTTGAAGCTGAAATTTGACCCAGGATGTGCAATCATAGACTCAAGTGAAACGATGATAATCGTGATCGTTGCTCGTATAAAGACGTAAATGGTAACTCTGGGACGATTAAGCTGGAGCTTGTCGCAAAAAAAGACAGATGAAGTTAGCAGTGCTAACGAGTTCAATAATGGAGTTTCACCCGTGAAATGAAAAACATATTTCGCAACTACTGCATAGCGCGAATATCGGGTTCATCACAGAGTATTACGCCACTCTACGTAACGGGTGAAACTCCGATGTAAACTTGATAAATTCGAAGTTCACCACGATGATGTTGAATTCGCTCAGCTGAAAGCCTGCCTAGTGATACAACCGCTAAGTATGGCAATTCTGAATTGAGACTCCCGTCAGGTGAACAGAAACTTCTCCAAAGGGGAACCTCATTAGTGAAAATCAACTGTGTGTGGGGTAATGACCATCTCGTTGACGATATTATTGCGAAGTCTGACCTGGTCGGCATTCACATACTCATTTCGACCGCGTATATGAACTCAGATCTTTTATATATGGGAAAGTTGCATAAACTGCAGCACTTTGAGAGTGTTAGTGATTTGCCCATTGAGATTAAACTACACTGGACACAACTGCAGGAGAGTGCCTTACAAGGCAGCAGTCTGGGTATACCTAATCGACGTAACTATCTTCATCATAAGCTCAGTTGAGCGGTTCTTCCACTCGAAAGACACATTGTGCACTACGGAAGATTGGGACAGTGACAATGATGCATCTCTCAAGAGGCTTAGATGAACCCTGATTCATATTACATTTAATGGGTCTTAAAGCGTTCGACACTATATTGGATTTCCCCTGAGTTGCCCACATGTTGTCCTTCTCAATATGCTGGACTCTGTTATTGAGAATCACCACAACCCTATCGCCTCGCTATGGAGGGCAATCCTGGCTCGATAGAGTTAGAGTAGTTGCCACACAAAGTCGAATTGAAGAGTAAGGCCAACAGAGGAATATATGTTTGCTTTATTCAGCTGAGCTCAGGAGTTTCCTCACTAGTTATATGAATTTTTGCAAACCAAATTTTCACACGTAGATGGTCATATCTATATTTTCCGATCTACTCAGTAGAGGAAACGATATAGATACATACGCGTCGTCCTTCGTTATGAAGAAGATCTATATATACGCACATGCGGAGAAGAAGAGATATACGTTGGTGAACTTGAAACATGCGTTCAGTGCCCAGTCCGGTGGGAAGTGGCTGCTGAGGAGCGATGAAATCTTCTGAGATCAGTTGCTATCACTCGCGTTATCTCGATCCGGGCATACACGAAGTGAAGTGTATATGTGATCGAAATGAAGTCTCGATGTGGAACTTCACAATGGATGATTTTGCTGATAAACTGAGGGCTGCCAGAAACCCTCATAAACTGGGTCAGTCTTGGAGAAATATATGTTCGCTTTCTTCAGCGGTTTCCCCACTGATTATAGGAGTTTATATACGAATTCGGGTAGAAATGTACAGAAGCCAACGAGAATTTCCCAAAATTTCGTCATCTCCGAGAACATTGTGATATCCGCAAGGCTAGATACAGTCTTCAAGGACGTTCGAGAGCCGACACTGCATGTTATGGAAAGCAACAACGCTACTCTGGAGCACTTGAATCGCGGGATCTGGTAGCAGCACTTTCCGCGATGAGGAATAGAAGGCTTTTTTACAGGACCGTAACTGGCCTGCCCGTGAATATCAAATGCTCGAATGCTACCAGAAATGATGATACTGCGAAAAAATTGATAAAAAAATTCGGAATTCTCGCGCCGCCGGTAAGAAGACACCAGATGGCACAGTACTGCACCGCAAGATACGATCGGATACCCTTTGGTGGGCTCTTCGAGCGTATACCTCTTTCGGGGTGGACGACAGTGTTGAATCGATGCTGGCACAGATGGCCACGGTGCAAGAGCCGGGACTACTCGTTTTAGTCATCCCGACGAGTGAGTTCCATCCGTTTTATGTGAGGTGGGCAAACGCGATATGAAGTGACTCCGTTTTACGTGTCTTAGCAAAGTGAAATGTGAAATGTCGTTTTTCACAAGTATTTTTCATATCACGGGTGGACCTCCTCAGGGATCATCCATCACCGAAGTGTCATTACTCCCGGATTCATCGATGAGGAGAATTTGATCAAGTACGGCCCTGCGAGTCCTAGATTGGGAATAGGCCCCAGAACTCAGACGCTGTTCGATCGACTTCTCCTCGAGTAAACTCATCACGGTAAAAGGAGGAAATGTGGTACTTGACGACATACAGTTAAAGAATCTCGACGACCGTGAGAGACCTCATTCGTATGAGTCTACGGCTATCCTCAGGAACGCGCACTGAGCCTAACGACTGCGATAAGAATGCTCTTGACCGCGTGATCGCTCAGATAGATGCGGTACAGCGAATAGTGTCTCTTCAATGTGGGCTCTCAGTTGTCGGCTTAGTAGATAAGAATAAAAATGCGAGAAGCCGGTCGACTGGAACATAGTTGTTCGGATCACACGAGAGAGTATCCTCATTCGGGAGGGGCAGGGAAATCAACAAGCTCGAGAATTGGTAGGCAGTGATTATGTAATGGCCTCTTATTTTCGATTCAGGTCTACTCAAACATCTTTCTTCTTATACCACACCAAAGGCAACGCGTCTATCATCAAAAGATAGGCCTCTCTGCACATTGTAATTCTTACGAGTCTGCTGACCAGCGGCACTTAATCAGATATCGATTGTGGAATGCCCGTCGGCTGCGTAACTTGGCTGCTCGTGCGCTATCTTATACGGCCATGGACGCCTTTGGAAAATGTTGGCATCTCGCTGAAGATCTGATTGTCCCTAAGCTGGTTGAAGTGAATACGGAGACGTCATTGTGTCGAAAGGATCCTTTCGTGGACCCCTCGGGGTGAGTGGTTGATGGAGTGGTATGCACATGGTCAATGACAATATGTGAATCCTTGTTGGCTTCCAAGTAGCTTTGGAGACTCCTGAGCTCAACTGAGGGGAGCGGGCTAATGCCCTGTGCAGTTACTATACCGATCCCTGCTGCAACGAGGCACTCCTCAATGAAAAGCCGTGCAGGCCTCATCGAGCTCTTGGTACGGCCGCAACACTGTCGAAAGTAACATCAACATTCATCGGAGTTTCACCCATGCTATGAAAAAAACAACACTAGTGAAAACTCGCGTGTGCGGTGAATAACGCTTAAAACACGTGATGTGTTTCACGAGAAGTGGAGTGATTTGTCCGGCGTAATTCGCGAAGTATTCTCAATTCACTTCATATCGCGTTTTTCACATGGAGTATCACGCCACTTCACGTAAAACTCCATTAAAACGTGGTATTTGCGCCTGGCAGTAGTCGTGGAATGTGTTTTTCACTAGTGTTTTTCATATCACGGGTGAAACTCCAATGCAGTGCGGTAAAACATGCACATTGTCAACCACATATGTTGGTGCCAATATGGAAATTTCGGGAAATACTCAACTACTTTTCTACTTTTTACTCGGATTTGTATATTATAACTTCTATAATTAGTGAGGAAACTTTTAAGCTCAGTTGAGGAAAGCATATATATTCTCACAATGAGTGTTTTCAGTAGGTCAACGTTTCCTTAGCCGCATTAGCTTGCCTCAAGGACGACTCCGGATCGGCCGAGTACGTCCGAAAGGCTCTACTGAGTGGCGGCGCAGTAGTCCATAGACAATTGCTCTCGGGAATTGGAGAAAATTGCGAAAGCCAGGTGAGAGAAAATAGAAACATGATCGACCACATATGGAAATTCTCATTGGTTTTCGTACATTTCTAGCCGGATTCATATGTGAACTTGTATAACTAGTGGGGAAATTCCCTAGCCCAGCTGAGGAAAGAGAACATATATTCTTCCTTGCTTTTTGTGTATGTAGATGGCTAGAAGCCTCCTCGCAGATGGGAGAGTACCTAGTTCGATCGAAACCTGTATGGAGGACGTCTATGGAGCGTAAGCATTCTCAGAATTCTGAAAAAAATCTATTTTTCGTTTTGCTATTTTGAAAAAGTGGAGTTTCACCCGTTTTACGTGAACTGGTGTAAAAGTAGGATATTCACACTACGTAGTAGTCGTGAAATATGCTTTTCACTAGTGTTTTT